TGGCCCTGAACCCTGAGCTCTACACATGAGCCCTAATCTAAACTTCCAAAAAGGGGGTTATATAAGGGACGATAGCGCACATAAACTCCCTATTCGAGAATATGAGTAGCCCTTACGGGTGGCGGGGGCTCCTTAAACGAGGCTTGGTAACTCTTCTCGTGAAATCTCGGCCGGTCATTCTCTGCATTTCGAGGCGTGAACTGGAGAGGAAACACGCAGCCAGCGCCGCAGCCCTGACTTTTTTCAAGGGTTCATATACCCTATTATACTATAGTAGTATCCATGTTCTTTTCCATTATCCCTATACAATCCCAATAATATCTACTTAAGGGGGACTATAGAGTTTAGAATTTGTGTGGTGAGTGGTTTTGTTTAGGGTTTAGAGCTAGGGTTTAGGGTTGAAAATATAGATACACACACACATATATATATATGTATTAGATTGTTTTAGGGTTAGGGGGTTAAACTTCAGGGCGCGTACGATGCCCTGTAGCAAGACTTCGACCTTGGACTATGGTCCCAATGGAGAGTTCCCTCATATATACTATGAAGGCAATGACTCCTGGGTTCAGGGACAATACTCTTGTAGTGCAAAGGGGGCACCCATCTTCGGCGTCGGATCCACTCCGAAATCCTCAACGGGCAGGCAAAACCAGCAATAGATGTTCCCATATAAACACACACATATATATATATAGGGCACGCTCATATGCATACGTATGTAGTCCCGAAACATAGATGGTACTTAGTACTTGTTTGTGATGTGGGTTGTGTGCAACATTAATAGGGAAACAGGGAATATGATCACTATATAACCAACATACAATACCCTAAAGGTCCAAGTATCCCGCTTGGAATAAGAAGGCTTTAGGGTACAAAGAACTCCACCATTTGGGTACTTGGGAGCCTTAGGGAGATATTCCTTTGGTCCCTACTAGCTAAGAACCAGTAAGGTAAGGAGTGGTCGAGGCCCTGATTTTCGCATCCTCAGCTCCAAATTCTAAGGCCTGAGCACCAACTCTCTTGGGAGTTGGGTTTAGGAGTTTAGGTGCGGAGTTGATTTGATTTAGGTTCAGGGGTTAGGGTTCAGAGTTGGTATTTTAAGGTTTAGGGATTTGGGATTGGGGTTGAGAGAGCGAGCTTCCAACCTGACACACGAATGATGTACCCAGAATCCTAAACCCGTAAGACTGAATCCCAAATCATGTAAACTTAATGAATGTTTTCAAGGGTCTAGTCAGCGGCGAAGCCACAAGCCCCCCCCCCTCCCACTGCCCAAACCCCTCAACCCTAGTCCCCCATCCTGAGCATCAGAAGCCAGAACCTAGGACGGTGATGCGTCTTTGCAGCACCTCAACTCCGCGAAAAGCCGGGCACAGGCTCAGATTGTTCTGATTCGTTTTTTGGGGACACATGGGCAGGGGGGGACATATTGGGTAATGGAAAAGAAAATGGAAACTACTATATTAGTCTATTGGGTTATATAGGGGTAATGGGGGGGGTTGGCGAGGGGCGGGGGCCAGTAGGGGGAGGTTTGGGATCGTGTTTAGGGCTTTGGACTTCCGGGCTGGAGTTTGTGCAGGTGTAGCAGGATGTGTGACAAGTGAGCCAACAGGATTTGGCTAGAACTGCAGCCCAGATTGCATGAGGATTTCAGGGAGCCGTTCCTGTTGTAGCAACCAGAAGAACACATGGGCATGGGCGTGAGGGATATATTTTGGTGATGGAAAAGAAAATGGAACCTATTATATAGTATATTGGGGTTACAAGGGGGTAATGGAGAAGAACATGAAAACTACTAAATATTTCGATTTCCACTTCGGATAATTCTTTTAGATCTGACTCAGCACTTGAGAATCAGGAGGATCGGCGCAAGCGCGGTGATGATTCCGAAGTGAATATTCTTACAATAAAGGATCAGGCAGCCACCAACTGCCTGCCAAGTGTGTAGATAAATCCTAGGGTCCTAGACCCTGAGCCCTGAACCCCAAGCACGTTCAGCACAAGTAGGCTTCCCAAGCAGAGCTCATCAGTACAGCATCTGGCTGAGGAACCCCCAATCTGAGTCAGAATAGGTATGGGTATGGCAGATCATGGCAGGCACAAATTGTGCTTGCTGTTACTCTGCTATATGGGGATAATGAAAAGGAAAATGGAAACTGCTAAGGGTTATATACGGATTATATAGGGGTTATATAGGGATAATGGAAAGGAAGATGGAAACTGCTAGTTCTTGGCAAGTCTAGAAGTTGGAAGCATTGTTCAGCAGTGGGGCACCCTTCTTTGTAGGCATGGATTTCAGCTTTGCGGAAGGGCTACCATAATATTTGATAATATACTATAATATACTATAATCAATTCTACCATAATATGCTACAGTATACTATAATATATTTTAATGTACTATAATATACTAGAATATGCTTTAATATACTATAGTATACTATAATGTATGGATAGAAGGCAGATGGGACCGTTAACGGGGGCTGGGCTTGACTTCATACTCGAAGGCTCAGACTCCAGGATCCAAGAGTGTTTTACCACACTATTATTATCCTTATTGTTATAATGATTATTACTATTATTATTCTTACTAGTATTGTTACTATCATTCCTAGTATTTCTATTATTACCATTATTGCTATTGATTACTATTATTGCCAAGCCTGAAGCCATGGGAAACAATCCATCGGCACTGGAGGATGTTGGCCGCGCGCTGAACACTTCAGTGGCATCCATAGGTGGTGCTTGGGAAAGTTCCATCATGCATCCTTGACCCCAATATTGCGCCAACATAACCCATACTAATCCCAGTGTCCATTTAATTTTCCATGTTCTTTTCCATTTGATTCTGCATTATTGGGGTAATATCCTTATATATAACCCCAATATAACCTTGAACCCAAAAATCACATAATCCTAAGGCCGCGCCCGATGGCCCCTAGGTTTCTGAATCCTACACACAGAAAGACGAAAACCCTGAGGCCTGCCATTTCTAAATCCTAAGCCCTAGGGCACTACAACGGTATACTGAGCCCCTCACGCGCTGAGCTGAGACCCTGAACTTCACCAAAGCTTGAGGCCCTGAGACCCGAAGACCTCAAGACCCCAAAGACCCTTAGCTACTGAATCCCAACCCCAAAACCTTTAGGCCCCAAGATCCTCAACTTCTGAATCCGGAGCCCTCCAACCACACCTAAACCCTGAACCCCCTAGACCCTAAACACTTGAACCCCCCCACCCAACCCTCAGACCGCAAGGCAAACGGAATTCCTGTAATGTTGTGCCCAGATTAGTGTGGGGGTCCTTAATTGTGCGAAGCTTTGCCGAAATAATTCAGGCCACCCTGATTCTTCTGGGGGGCCTTGCTTGTTCGAAGTTGCGCGGCCAAATAAGTCCACTGAAGGATATGTGTGGAATTTAAGAGAGCTGCGCAATGTTTGCGGCAAGAACTTGAGATCTGTCTACCTGGGGCTCCCAGCGCACAAAACATTAGGACGTGGTTGCCGGAAGTGACAGCTTTGCTACGCCTACAGGCCCTGAACATGTGGCGTTTTGACCCTTATCCCGGGCTTCAACCGATCCCTGCAAGCATTTGCTACTTCAGTGCATGGGGTCACAAAGTAAGGGGGTCGCTGCGACATAGACGCCTAGCTTTTGCGACTTGAAGCCCTTTCGCACAAGCTTCCAGTCCCAAAGCCCTAGCCCTCAGCCCCAAAGCCCTAAGCCTGAGAACCCTGGGCCCTCTACAGCCAAACCCCCAAGCCCCTGCCCGGAGGTGTGCTAACACAGATCGTGACCGACCCGCAGCAGGCGGCACGTCTCGGGGAGCTTATCTCGAAGCAGCCAGGCTGTCCTTCAAGGTTTCGAAGTGCTCGTGTTTAAGATTCAGCTTTTATTTTATGGGTGGCTTACAGGTTACAACTACCTATCCTTGTCTACCCTCTGACCCTGTCCAGTTGCTATCTCATTTTCAATTTGATTTTCTGCTGGACTCTCCCTTATAAGTAAGTTGTAAGTACCGACATATTCTACTACTATTATTACTGTTATGCTCACTATTACTGTTACTGTGACTGTCCCATGATATTATAGAATTACTATTGCTAGCAGAGGCATGACTTTCCGGCTCTCCTCCGAGCGCTGACGTCCCGGGGCGAGCGCCTGGCGCCGGACTTCTTCCCAACCTGGATCCGGAAAGCTGGCGGCTACTTCCCCAAGTTCGCACAGGTGGCATGGGTAAAGCCTAAACTCCTTAAAGTGGGTATATAACGGGGGAGTATTGTAGGCATTATAATGGGGTATACCAGGAGTTTAGACCATAGCTCACATGGGTTATTGGGGTGTAGAGTTCTAAGAGTGGGTAAGGTTGCATTTAGGATAGGAGGGCTTGAGGTTACGGGAATTATGGTCGGTTTTCCGATTGGGATATAAGCTGACAGTGGACTACGTCTTGGCTCCTAGAATTGCAGCTGTGCGGCAGCGCCTGGTTTCCAAAACACCGCGGCCGCCGCCGCCACTGAACCGCCGCCATTACGACAACAAAAGCGGCAGCACCACCTGCGCCCCCGCCCCCCGGCCCGCGTCACTTCCATTGCTGTAGCAGCAGCAGCAGCAGCAGCAACAACAACAACAACAATAATAACGATAACAATTACTACATCTACTGCTACCACCACTACTCCACTACAGCTACTACACCCGGAGCTGCTGATGCTGCTGCTGCTGCTGCTATCCACGGGAACGACGAGGACGAGGACAAAGCTACAGCGCGGCGGTAGCGCCGCCGGAACAAATCAAGAGCCCACAATATGACATTTCAGAGACATTTGCATTTTGCGTCCAGGGCTTGCACCATGGTGGCGCCTGGGGGAAGACATCGTATGGCATTCGCCATAGGGACCCTGCAATCTCCCCAAACCCAGCTTTTCCGCCCTCTCTATCTCTTTTGTGACGAGAGGCCCGAATCTCGGGAAACATTTGAATTGCCATCACGCCAGGTGCTCTCGGTTCGTGCCGATCTGATTGACGACCGAGAGGTTCTTGCTGGCCTGAGCCGGTGCTTGGAAGACATGCCGAAGAGGCCAGGGAATCTAATTTTCGATGGACGTGTAGATCATCGCCTACCAGGAGGGATTGCACAGGACGTAGATGCTTGCTCCAGTCGGACTATAGATCTCTGTATGTGATATATCCGTAGAGCTGTACATCTTTGAGGCAAGTTGGGAAGCATAAGCTCACGTTAGACAATTTCAAGTCATGTACAACAACTCATGCCATACTTGTCCACCCCATGGCAGAGCATGTCTGAGATCACGCTCTGCTCAAGATGAAGGGTAGTTGTTCGTAGACTTCTCAGTCTAGGTCAGGTCTACCATGATCCGAAGCCAGATTTGTGAGAAGCAGGGAAAATGCTTGAAAAGCCACTCCACAACTCTTCAATTCAAGCAGCCCCACAAACGTGCATGCTTAAAAATCTGGTTAGATCAATTACAGCGAGTTTCCAAAAACCTCTTAAACTGCAAACACCAACCCTCCCTTAAGCCAGCCCTTTTGGTCCGAGGGTTGCAGCAGCATGGGCAGGCTATTCATGCGGATATTTATTGTTGCCAATCGTACCCCACTATGCTGCCACCGCAATTCCAAGTACCGCTGGTATTGGGGATACGGCGACATTTTGTTGGGAATTGTTCGCTGAGGCCGGATGCTGATGTCATAGCGACGCTTTGCTGCTGATGGTACCTCTTTCCATGCCTGCACTCACACCTTCTCATTAAGGTTCATATTTGACAAAAAGACACAGACTAGTAAGACTTCAAGTTCCAGGTTACCGAGGAGTACAATTATCTAATTGCTTTGGGTTGGTGGCATCTGTGCTGGGTGAGGGATGAAGGCTTGGGTAGACCCATGTGCTATCCTGCAGTGGAGCTTCCGAAAACAGGGAATTCGCACTGTTTGGCAAATTCTGCCGTGGAAGGAATATTCATATTTCAGCATGGTCTTCGAAGCCTTGTAGAACGACATCGTCCTGAAGGCCCACATCAACCCCTCACAAGCGTCAAGTCCTGGGTAAACTTTGAGATCGTAGTCAAGTCTCATACTATGCCTGATGTCCTTAAGTCACCGAAGGAATTACTCTTGAACTCCTCGTCCCCATGCTTCCATAATCCCTGCAGATACCGCCAGTAGCGTCTGACAACTCCCAGTTCAGAATATAACCCCTATATAACCCCAATATAACCCCAATGTATAACCCTTACATATACCCTAATATATAACCCCTATATAAATCCTCAGAATGGTCCAAGCCCTCAGGATACTGTCGCAAGTTGGCTGGCACGATGCCTCCCCTGGTCTGGGCCACGCTTTGAACGCCGGCACTGTAGCGCAGGTCGGGCTCCTCAAAGTTAAACAAGCGCCTGCATAGGGCCTGCAATTTTTGGTGGGTACTCAGAAAGCATTCCAAGGCTTTCGTTGTGTGAAGTCGTTTTTTTTATGGGCATCTACGTGCAGGCCAGCGCGCTTAGCAATTGGGTGTTTGTCTTCCCTTTTTTCGAACGGGCTGAGAGAGCTAAGGGTCCTGTGAAGGTATATCAAGTACCGCATCCTTCCCCCAAGCTAACATGGACCCTCCTTGTACCCTGAATTGGGGATATATGGTCCCTAACAGTGGGTACTTAGGCCCTAGGAGGAGGGTCTAGGAACATGGACATTAGTGTGACAGACAGTTGGCCATTCATGAGGCCGCTTTGGGGCTCGCTGGAGGGTAATCTTTCTTGAACAACTCCCAGGTCAATGACATGAGCTTGTTCGGCCCGTCCGTCCTCAAGGTGCTTCATAGTGAGTTCGTGGGGTCTCCAGTAGTGTACCTCAGTACTACTTGTAGGGACTATGGAAGAGCATGGGGACTTGGCGGGGTCCCCTGTGAGGATTCTATAGGGATTCGACTCTATACTAGGAAGACCCACATGAGCAGCGTTTACTTCTTGCCTGCTAGTCGTTGGTTGATTTCTTGGCCACACAAATCTGGAGATCAATCTCAAAAATGTGCGCGGGACTTTGGCCATGTTGTTGCTATGACATTATCATGGTGTCGCATCTGGCTCAACGGCGGGATGTCAAAGTCCTTTATCATAGCGTTTGTCATTTCGTTGATTTGCGACTTCTGTTGTTCAGGTCACCTTTCCGGATGTCTACAAGCGCTTTGTGACGGACTTCCGGCTCTTCTCGCATGCGAGAGCTATTCTGAAATCACTGAACCTGCGCGACGACAAAGCTCAGATGCATAGGCTTCACTTCAGTCCTGTACCAGTATGGGGACTAAGGAATTACGTATAAGGGTGTATTATGGGGCTTGCAGGGTTTAGGGTATAGGGGCTTTGGGCCCGCGGCTTTGTCAAGCAAATGCTTTTTTTTAGGCAGGCTCGGACTTCCTGGTTTCTCATACCTCATCGAAGATTTCTGCACCTGTCTTTTTGCATAGCAAATGTGTGAAGCTCTATATTGAGCAAATCTTTCCGTAAGCTGCAAGTCCCGCTGAGGATAGTCGCTGCGATGTTCGACGCAGTCGGGTGGCTGGGCTCAACCTGGTTCCTATCTGTATGGTAGTCTGCGAGAATTCCCATGCATTCGTCGGCCGCCGCAGCAGCAACAGCAGCAGCAGCAACAGCCGCCGCCGCTGCCGAGCAGCGGCAGCAGCAACAGACGGTGCAGCAGCAAGGCAAGTAGAAACGACCACGACTATTTGGAATGTTCACTGAGCATTCAGAGACCTAAACGCAGCACCGATCATGACCATACTGCTCAGGAAGAGCGAGCGGCATGTCCTGCAGGAGTTCGACCTGACACTCGAAGCGAGGTCGCTGTGGACCGGACAGGACTTGGGGAGCTTCCTGACCTCAAACTGTGACACATGTTTGCCTGATTCCGCATGGCATGAGCCCTGTAGCCCAGATGCCTCACATCCCCAAAGGCCAATAAGTTGAAGGAGCTTGCAGGCTATGGCTGTTAAGCGGTTTGAATGCTCGAGGGTTTACGTGCGTCATGATGGTGTGGTGGGGCAAGTACGGCCCAGAGGGCGCGGGGATATGTAGAGGTCTTGGATGTATGTTAGCTCGGGTGCTTTGTCTTCAGAAGTGTGGAACAGAAATGGCTGAAACAAACGCTTGAGATTTTGGAAGTAAAACTTCAGGAGATTATTTTGCCCTCCGCGGCTTTCCTATACGGAGAAGCTTCGGCGATTTGTGTATGAACTATTCTTGAAAGGCGGTTCGGAAGTCCTTCAAAGCGAAACACGCTGTGATCAACTTCTGGTACACCATGCTGCCATGCCTCACTTCGCTTACTGGGGGTCAGTAGGGAATAAGGGAATATGTTATAAAGGACTAGATTTGGATTACATTCCCTTATTTCCCCCCTAAGTTGGACACGTTGGATCCAACACACGGCTTGCTGCAAGCTTTCTGTGGCTACCCGCTGGGCAGCTTGAGGCCCTGCTTTCAAGATTGTTTGTAGGAGGGTGGGGAACCTTGAAACTTTGCCGAACCCTGAAAGCGAACAGTAGCCCTAATGAGAATAGACATAAGAAATAGTAAGAAGAATAGCAATCATGCCACTAGACCCTAAACCGCGAGCCATATTCTGCAGGAGCTGCTGGCAGAGTGGCCTGCAGCATACCTGTCATGGAAGGCGGCAATGAACAGCGTGCCTTGTTAGGCATCATAGTAGTTTTAAGCGGGCTGCCATGAAGGATGCACTACCTTTAAAATGGACAGACTCATCAAGAACCATGCTTGCCCTTGTATGGGAGGCGCCAAGTTGCAAAAAAAGCATCCACGTCTCCGGAATGTGCTAGTCCAGCAAGGTGCTAAGATGTCTGTGACTGCTTATGACTTTTGAAGGCTGTGCTGGGCCTATTCATAGGTGCCCCTACTACCCCCCTCTATACTAATCCCCAATAGGTTCCCCTTAAATACAGCTATTTAGGGATGATTAAGGTGAAAGAAGGTGAAAAAAAGGGGGTGGCAGTATAGAAGGGGGCAACTAGTACTCTATGACATATGAGATCGTATGGGCCATGGGGATTCAGAGTCGGTGTCTAAACCGCATCGCTAAAGGGATCCCTCGAAAAAGAGACCCGCATGTGTCCGACACCGGATGCCTTGTTCTGGGAAGAGGGAAAGTGACCTGAGCAAAGGCTAAAGAAAACCTTTGCAAGCCCTGCACGGTTCAACATTGTCCTTATTTGCATAGCCCGAGTCCACGTAACATTCTAGCCTTTTTCAGACCCTATGTTTCTACGACCTTCCTTCTGCTGTGTTGTCTTCCGAAGGTGCTGCCGCAGGCTGCGGCAATTCCGCCCCACGTCCTGCCCTTGCTGCAGGCTTCGGACACAAATTGCTTTTGTGTTCTAAGCCCTACTTACTTAATATCTGCATTGCCATAGAGACGCGCTCGCAAATTGCCATAGAGACAGGCACGCATTCCGATGCTCAAGGTGCTCATATTAGTGTTGGATCCCGATTAGTGTGGGGCCCCCCCCAAACAAAAAGGAGAGCCCCTAAAATAAAAAGGCCTCAAAACAATTGGGGGTCTGGGAGATCCAGGGGCTCCTATTTAAATCAATAAAGGAAAAGGGATCCTTCGGCTCCTATTGAATCCATGAGGACTTGCTCGGTCTAGCTTTCAAGAGAATAGGAAGGGCAGGGTCTTCAGCCTTTACGTGATACGGCCTGGTCTTGAAAACCTACTAAAAGCAATTACAATCTAATTGAAATTAGAAAACTTTTTCGAAACCAATTAGAAAGGAATTTGATCAACAGTTTACATAAAATTCTTCCGGGCGAAGAACATTACTTTATTGGGATCGAATAGGGGGTCCAGGCTAATTTTCGAAAACTTGACTTCATTGGGGACCCCCGCACTAATCGGGATTCGACATTAATTCAATTTGTAATGATCTGAGGGTTGCTGTATGAACTTATGAACCACAATACTGCAGATGTTAATGCTAGTCTGCCGTGGCCTTAGACCCAGAACATCAGAAGATGAGCACATTGAATCGCAGAATCATCCCTGTACCCTCTATCATAAATCACCAGGGTCTCCGATTATTACTACTATTACTTCTCTAGTATTACTATTATTATTATGAATATTACTATCATAGCTATTACCCCGCAACTTTGGAATAAGAGTAAGAGCGGCAGGTGGCCCAGGTCCAGTCCCAGAGTTGGCGCATTGGCATTCCAACGCCCGTAGCCGATCGCGTAGCGCGCTCGGCTCTGGTGATGTCTCGGGCTGGAGGCAGGGTGGACTGCCTAGAAGTGGGCCCCTTGGCCCCAGATTTCTCCAACAGTTCAAGACTTGAGGACATTCTGCGAAATTCTTGAGTCCCAGCTTCCAAACACTGATGAGTCTCAACGCTACCAAAGCCCCAAGCACCGTAGAATTTAATACCTGACCTCCATAGTAAACTAATTTCCCTGGTGCTCTACTTCAAACATCTTCAAACGGAGCCTCTTGAATTTGATGTTTAAAGTCGACCGACCAACAGCAACTAGCCTCAGTCAGTCAGGGAGTAGACTTTAGGTGGACCCCCCACCCCGTAATAGTGGTACTTAAAGTAGGACCTTAAGAGGACCCAAATGTAATCACCATTATCCTTCATAGTCACGATTATACTGGGTGGGGGGGTCCACCTAAAGTAGACTACCCGGACGCCCGGCTACTTGTGCGAGGCCGCTCCCTTCAAGAGCTGGTGGAGCTTGGGGCGCTTTGTAGTAAGCTTTCATGATTCCCCACCTGCGTAGAAACGCATACTATAAGACAACTTGGGTACAGATAAAATGCGGATCATGGTCTCACAATAATGCTGGGAAACCTTGGGAGGATTGAGGAGCTGCAGAATTAGGATGGATGTTCCTCTACGCTTCGTATGTAAGTACGGCTTTCCGAAAACCCAGCTGTAATCCTTGAGGCCTCGACAGAACCTAAAGGTAGCAACTGCAGGAAAACTGCCAGGGCTTCTGGCTATAGAAATTTTACAACATCCTAAGGAAGGAGACGCCGCTGCGCAACAGGACTTCCGGGAGGGGGGGCCTATAGAGTTTGGAGCCGTTGTGCCAGGTCGATCTACTAATTAAGTGGAATGGTGTGCAACTATTTGGTGACCTAGACCTGCGTGACTCTGAGACCGTGAAGGAAGGTCACCATTTTCACCTCACCAAACACATGTGGTGTCAAGACGCCGCTGTTTTCGTGCTGTTGATCCCATAGTTACCTTCTTCAGATACAGCAGCGCATCATGCGGTGTAGGCTCAGACCGATGTTCTGTGCCAGCGTTGCAATGCGTAGAAGCATGCATGTGTGTGTCAGCTCCCTTTCCCTATTACCTCCCCGAGAGAGCAGGAAGTGGCGCTCGTTTTTTTGGGTTTTGCGTTGCCCTTCCTTGGCTGGCTTCTGCCACTTGCCGCAACGTCGCACCTTCCAGAGTGGTTCGTGACGGGTCTTAGGTTTCTGAGGCTGATTGCGGCGAAAAACCTGCCATTAGATGGAGTTCTCACGGGGTTTGTAGCTAGCCAGTACAGTGTACAGTGCTTCGGATCTTTAGTAGGGGTTCGGGCGCTGTGGTTCTGAGAGCTCGTTTGCTTTATCATTCCTTCGGTGCCATTCCATTGGTTGAAATGGTACACTTTGTGAATTTGTTTGGAACACATGAAGCAGGGTGGCACAACATCAGAAATGCAATCCCAGCCAGCGCCCCTTCACAGCAGACTTTATATTGTTTCAGCTCACAGGGATCGCCTTGGACTCGAGCCAAGAGCATCCCCCAACCTGAAAAGCCTGCCATTCTCGGCCGGCCCCTTACCCCTTATGCATCCCTACATACCCCTTATCCGCCCGCCGCCTTCGTTTCTCTGAAAGGCTATGCAAAAGTGCCTCGCACCTCGCCCACGTAGATCCGCACTTTGGAAACTTCCGCTGGGAGCGAGAGAGCGAGACCCTTTGGGTTCTTGTCACTTGTCTGAAGTCATCCGAAATCTTGGCTCTTCTGATGGTTGCGCATAGTAGCAGGACAGCCATTATTCGGGAGATTTTTGTTCCAACACACATTCTAATGATGCGCATAAGTTTTGCATTGAGATCGCAAGTAAGAACAAAAAGAACCCCTCATTTGAATACCCCCCACCCCCAAGAAAAGAACAACCTCGCACGGTCTAATTGTTTGGCGTCTCTCAGGCGATCAAGTACCCCATGGGATTAGAGATTTAGAAGCAACCCTCAGAACTTTCGACAGATGAGTTCTACCTGCAGAACCTTTGCTGCCAGTGTGCATAGTCATGATGCATGATACCTGCCGTTGTCCTACTAATCTTGTGGTTCCCCAAAATGCCTGCTGTCTGTTGAAAACAAAACCTACATTCAAATTCCTCGTCTACATCAATCTTGCTTGACAACTGAGACCCGACTGAATCGACTCAACCANNACCCCCCCCCCCCCCCGAATAATGGATATTCCAAACAAACGGCCCGTATATCATAAGGGCAGTATTTGCTATTTCAGGGTGCCAGCTTTGTGAGGGTCCTATTGCCAGGGGAGGATATCAGCAAATGCAAATACAGAGGGCCACTGACTTTGTGAACAAGCAGCCTCATAGGTAATCAGCACCGTATGCTAACAATTCCATATTGCAGCGGTTAATAAGAACCATGACTCCATGAGCTCTCAGCAGACTCAGTGGCAATGACGGCGATCCCAACGGGGCTTACATAGGAGATTATATAAGGGAGTACGACAGGTCCCACCACGATGCGAGGAGTTTAGATTCTAACACAAGCCGAGGACTGGGGCAGCACGGTGCAACTTGGCGACCAGCTGCGACGGTCCCTTTGTCTCCTGGTGAGTTGCCTGGCCGATGACGGCGAGGAGTCCCCTGCAGACGAGAAAGTACATGGGTTTAGGATGGTTTAGGGTCCCGTTTTGGGGCTCCTAAATTCTAAAGGGTGAAGGTTTAGAGTCCCTTTTTGGTGGTTTCTAAATTAAAGGGTAAGGGCTTAGGGTCCCTCAATTACAGGGTAAGGGTTAAGGGTTCTTTTGGTTGTTGATCTCTGACGCCTAAGTTAATAAGTTTGAGGAGTAAGCTGTTACAACAGTTTACTTCTAGCTACAGCCCATGAACCCGATATGAGCTATCGTCTAGCTCCTAGAATCCCCCTTAATAACTCCTATACTACTCCCCCCAATATTCCCCTGAAGCCTGTTCGCATGCAATAGCCGTATCTGTGACACAGAATCTGAGGTAGTCTCCGCGTCTTTCTCACCGCCAGGTCTTCATTTTATACCTGAAAACAAGGTACTAACTATAGCCTCCGCCTTGAACTCAGGGAGCGAAAGTTTTCTCAGACTCTTGCAAAAACGTCATGAATTTCCCGGACAATGCCTATGCACCTCTCTAACAACCATCCCCACAGAACAGCCCAAGAGCAGTTTGAACACCCAAACCCTACAACTCTAGATTCCCTGTTCCGAAGCTCCAAACCCCCTGAGCGCTAAACTCGCCATACTCTAAGCCGCACCCCTACACCCACAGCCGTAACCCTCCGCCCTGTCAGGACGCAGTCGTTGCCGACATCTCTCGCAGCCTCGGGGTGACGGGTCCAGACGACGCCCAGGTGGCCCAAGTTGTGGCCTGGCAGTTCAGTTCACAGGGTTGACCGGTGGGAAAGAATGTAGTGTAAGGGCCCAAATTACGAAGAAATCGAAAAAAGGGGGCTCCGCAATACTTGCAAGGCGCTTCTTGCATTGGTGTCGGCCCGAGCTGCTTTGCATCCAGCGTCGTTTCATTCGTAACCGGTTGGAAGTCTAGGCAATGTTGGAGCGGATCGAGGCCCGGGCTTGCTGAGCACAGAGTAGCGTCCGGCATTCAGCTGACATGGTCTTAGGGCAGACTTACTTCAGCATCCTAACGCGCCCTCCTCCGCTAAACCACGTTAGTTGTCCTGCTCTCCAAAGCCAAGATGCGCGGCCTCTTCAACGCAACCAGCCGAGCGCCATATCAGCAACAAACAGGTCTATCAGGTTTGGGAGCAGTGGTTAAGGGGCGAATGTGTAGTGTTTTTGGGTTCATGGTGGAGGTTGAGGCCCTGGAGCTCTTGTGACTCATGCTGCTTTCAAATCCAAGCTTAGTTCGGCTCAGGGTAGATGAGCAAGCCCAAATTGCATCATATGAAGCTTAACCAAAGCCAACTCTGATGGGAAACTAACGACGATATTCCTAGAGTTTAGCTATAGAGAGCGGTCCTGCAAATCCTGTTCCCAAAGCTGATGTTGATTCATCTAAGGCAGCAGCCCAGGAATCGATCGAAAACGCAGCTGCAGACCGCCTTCTGCAAAACATCGGCCACGAGGTGTCAGATGCAAGTGGTAGTTTTCCCAAATAGGGGACCCCAATGTAGACCCCAAAATAGTAAGGGCCTTATTATGGGGACCCCTAGAAGGTACCCCTAATTTTGGGAAATTCCCAAGTGGGACGCAGCAGTCTAGTTTTGCATAATCTTCTGCCGGTATAGTAAGAGTTTGGCGTTTTGCTAGCTGTGCATGTGTTATGAAGGGAGTCGATATTGGCGCCCAAAGGATCTTTGAATGGTCAGGCATAAGGTTCTGAATGCAGTACAACTCCCGGTCATATAAGGGCCCCTGTGAAGCTTGCAGCCGCTGTTCACATGTATGCGGCGGAAAAACCAGGCGGTTCAGCCCACAGTGCAACTTCCGGCACAGCAGTGCGAAAACATCATACCAATATGTTTAGCCAATCCGACATTCCACGCTGCTGTGAGCAGGTAGTCCCGGTGGTTCGCTGCTTGGCCATTTTGGGTGGGACGCTGAAGCCAGGCTTCAATCAGCATGTGCCTTGAGTTTGTCTTGGTTCTCTTGAGATGAGTGCGAGAAGATTTGTGGGAGGCTTCAGGGCATTGGCTGGGCCATGAAGGTTCGTTTCTGTTTTGCGCTTCATAGTCCTCGTGAACAGCGAACACCCGAAGTTCCAGACCACCTGACTCCCACAGCAGCCTGAAATGAGTTGACAGCTTAGGAAGAAGATACAGCAGCAAATACGAGACGAACACAATCAACATGTGCCCTTGCCCTTCGGCATTAGTGCGCAGCCTTTTTTTGGTGTGCAGAACTATGGGCTTGTGAATTTTGACCAGCTAACCTCCACAACGAATACACAGCATGCTTTCAAGTCGATTCTATTTGCTGCTTTTGCGCGGGTTAGGCCTCTACTTCATACGGCTCATTAATTGCCTGCATAGATCTGAGCTCAGGTGTAGAACCCGAAAAGGGCTTTCCTCTGCAGGGTGTGCAGCTACAGCCTAGGTCATTGGCGATGCTTTGGCAGCCCTTTGCATCCCAGGGTCTAGCATGACCGCGGAAGAGTTTGCTGCCATGCAAGCCGGATTGGCCCATTGGATCCTGAAACCGGTTCCGCGACTTGATGCACTTTTGAAACAGCTCTCCAGGCATGTGGGTGTGGGCTACTCAGATGTGGCGCAGTCTTCTGCGAGGTATGGAGGCCCTCACTGCAAGCACTGGTGAAGCGGAAGCGGCGAGCCGGAGCCTGATACCATCGACTTCCACAAAGCGCCAAGCTTGGGCAGATTGGCAGAGACCTGCGATCTGTGCCTTCGAGAGGCAGCCAATCTTGATGTGATTCATGCATTCTGTGGCCGTGTGGATGATGCCGTGGGCAGGTTGCCTTTGAATACCAAAGTTTTTGATATGGGTGGTATGGGCAGACAGCTCGCGACGTGGTGGCTGGAAGCTGGAAGACGCACGCGGCTCACAAAGTTGTCAGGCAGGCAGGCTCAATCAAGCCCATATTCGCCGACAAGAAGGCGCTGCAAGGCACATACTTGGTCAATGAAGAATGAGTTCCTGTTGATGAACTTGGTGATGAATGGATCTGAGCTGTCCCAAGACCTCCAAGATAAGGAGCCCAGGTCAGCTTGGCCAAAGGTTTGAGCTTGACACGCGTGGTGTATGGCTTTCCCAATTGATTTCCAGCGACCAAACAAAGTTGACTCGCCATGCTGCTTCAGTCAATAGCGCTGGAACCAGCATGTGCTCGGCATTAATGACATATCAGTGTCTTAGGATTACTTGAGGGATGCCAGGGCTGTTGAGTTGGTAGGGAACAAGACAAGGAGTTAACCTGAGCTACGGGGCTACAGCGGGGTCATTCTGGGGACCCGTTGTACCACACGAAAGGACCATGTTTTACCTTCATCTGGACGCAATGTGCAGGGATGTGCGGTGTTCGCTCTCCAAAGCATGTAGAGCACTTGTGCCCAAGAGAAAGGGATCTGTTGCTTCCAATAGCCCGCCTCAGTACTGAATGACATGTTTGCACCAGAAAGCCTGAGTCCCAACTCTAAGGTTTTGAGCGCAAGTCCTAGCAGCCAGCATCAGCTTTGGCTGCGAGACGTCCCGGTGATTCTACGGTTTCTCGGGCTGTTTCTCTGGCAGGTCAGCTGCTAGTGTTTCGGGTCTGATTTGAGACCCCATGCATGATGACTAACTCTCTCTTTCACACAAAACATCTGAGAACTAGAGAGATCGTCCCTCAGATTCCCTCAGTGACTCTCGCGTAGCCTGACATCATGGATTTAATGCTTTAGAGGCTGCCCAGAAAGGACCCGGCCACGAAGCGTTTGGCTTGATGTACTTTCATGTGCGACCAGAGCAACCAAGAAGCACGCCAAATCTCCCTCGCCGAGCTACAGAGACACACCACAGACGCAAAAACTTATTGAGCTTGCATCCAAAGCTTTCCACTCCATCCCCCTTGAAACCCTATACCCGGAAACCCCTATACAATTCGTGCGGCTCCACATGCCAAGAGCGCCATGCCCACTAAACGCAAAACCCAACCACTACCCAGGCCCCGAAGAGCCCAAAAATCTGCTACGCGTTTTGGTGGCCTCTGACGCTTGCGCCGAAAACATGGCTTGGTTCTCCGGCGTCCTTCAGGCCGCCCCATAGATAAGTTAGACCCTTTGAGAACCTCCCGCATCCTTGTCATTCACTTTCAAGAGCCCTTCTTACAGGGCCTGTCCTATTCCTGGGATCCTGTCCTATTTAGGTCGAGGGCGTGAAGGAGCGAAATGATAGATGGTTTAGGCTCTCAGCCGCTTCTGCTTTGCTTCTAGGGGTTGCCAAGGTATAACTTACTTGGAGAGACTACATCTTTAGTCTAGGTCTACTCTTTCCGTGGAGCTCCAAGTAGACATAGACTGTTGACGCTAGATTTCAAAAGCAGCGTACATTTGTCGTAGCTTGATTTGTGAAATCATTCCACAAGGTCTCACCAACTCTGAGCGTCACCATATGCTTCATATGCTTGTCATTGTCCCAGATCGCGTTAGCAACTTTATTCTCTGGCCGAAGAGGGTTAGGGAATTCAACATGCTTCCACTATAATCCTTATATTATGGGGAACCCCAAAAAGGTACCCCTAAATTGGGTTCAGGATCTGGACTCCTGCGCAGATTGTAGGCATCAGCTTGCAGACTGCGGCACAAAGCCTAGATTCCCTTTTGCTATGTGCAGCTAGAGTCTAAATTCTTTAAAGGGGGGTTATATGGGGGATTATATAGCGGAGAATTACAGGGTAACTAAGGGGGAATACAAGGAGTTTGGACTACAGCTCATGTGCAGCTGTGGGTCTGTAGCAGGAGCCGGTGTCAAAGAACTGCTCATGACTGTTGTTCGGATAGTGGGTCGAGCTTGAGAAGGCTAGTTGGCATTTCCGTAGCCGCCAATGCAGCGGTTGAAGCCAACAAATGCAACGGCTAGTGAGTTCAGTGTATCTTATCCAGTACATACCATCACAGAACTAGCAGGCAATGAAACAAACCTTGATTTGGGTGGCAAAATATTCCCTGTATACACCCTGTTCAGGACCCGAGAATCCCAAAATAATCCTTCTATATTCTGAGAACCAAGATGCAGGCCAAACCTTCGACAAAAACTCACATGTATCCTCTTTGCGTCACATGGGTTGTTCTGCAAACTGTGGGCCCTTTTTGATCACAGAGTACAGGTTGTCACCTAGTATTTAGGAGTACCAAAAGGGGACCCTAATTTTGGAACCTACCCATATGAGGTCAGGTTCTTACTCCTGAGTGGAGCTCTGAAGAAGCCTCTACATGCAAACCAACTGAACCAACGCCCCGAATCGTTAAGTCCTATAAGGCTACATCCCGAATCCCACGCCCAATCAAACCCTTTTCAAAACCCTCTAAATCTAGAGCCTCCGCCTACCCTCTATTGGGGCCTATGTACCCACTACTAGGGGCCATGTATCCCCAATAAAGGGTACTCGGAGGGTTTTAGGAATCCTTGGCAAAAGTACCGCGAGGACGTGAAGCTGCGAGGGACGGGCTTTCGAGACCGCCTCTTGGCTGTGAGCTGAATTATCTTTGTGCCACAGCTCCCTATTTATAGTCTCTGAGGCCCAATGTAGGTATCATTTATAGACCTAGAACCCCAGGGTTAGAGGATTTGTTGTGTTGAAGCGCTTATGGAGGCTAAACTTGTCCAATCTCGGATTGGATCATTGTCTACAAGCCGTATGGCACATGTTTGTTCGAGAGCATATGGGTTGCTCTCAAAAACACGGGCCCCTTTGGTTCTAGATTATATTACGGCACCTGATGTTTAGGGATACCAGAACGGGACCCTAATTTTGGGAACCACCCATATGCATTCCAGCAGCCGGCAAGGCCTCTAATAGTTGCAACATTTGATTCTTGTATCTGGGTTTTCCTGGTCCCATCCAGGACATATGGAATCGCAGTGATTAATGTGGAGGCTCCTGGCTAAAGCAGAGTCCACAGAATTCTAGCTTTTTTGTGGAACTTTTAACATGGTTCTCATTCCCAGTGGTCGGATTTCTCTACTGCTTGCCATTGATGCCGCTCTTTCCATTCCTTCTGGGATTGCCATTATATTGTCTCAGTCTTTCGTCGCCGCTCTTCCTTACGTGTCCTTACTGCATCGCTATATATAGACATTATGTGCTCTTTGACGTTCTCATTTGTTCTTGCTGAGGAGTCCGGGACGCTTCGAAGGCACTTGCCGGGAGGTCAAACGGTCAGGAACCCAGCCAAGGTGGCCTCCAATAAGCGGAGTCGGGGGTGTCTCAACACGAGGGTTTCCATGTTGTGTCGTTGCAATAATGTAATGCTGCCTCGAGTTATAGAGATTCATTCTGCCGCCCACCAAACATCAAGATCTATCATGGCTGATGAGGCTATTCAGGCTCCTGGCCCTCGTGCACAGACAACTAAGACCGCCTGTTGACTCTTTGCTTGTTCCGCGTTCTGTATCCCATTTGCTGAGGAGTTTTTCGAGGTATTCAATGTACAATCCTGCAAAGGACCCCTGGAATCCCTTGTCTTCTCCCACACCCCGCGAGATCCATAAGGTACTCCTCTTTTGAGAAGCGATTTTTGAAGAGCGTGTAAAACTGAGCTGAGGCACTTCGGGCTATGAGAAGGGAGCTCCCAACAGCTTTCTGTCCGCCCAGGAGCAACCTTTGGGTCTGCTGGCGCTGTAATGGGGACCCCGATATTCCCCTTGTAATCTCCGCATGTCTATGCTCCCCAAGGGCCCCCTTTCAAGAAGCCACCAAGTGTGAACTCAACCACAGTAGCCCCTATAAACCTTGACCCGTTCCATAAAGTTTGACGATTCGCAGGTCGACATTTCTGAACTTTTTGGATATGACCCCCGCCCCTTCCCGCATTACTGGTAATGCAGGAACCGGTAGTAGGCTTTGGGGTGTGAGTCCTTGTAAGGCTTCAGCGCATGATGCTTTGTAGGTTTGTGGTATCAAAGGCCTTGCAGAGAGTGTAAAGTAGATGGCTTCCTGCACTGAAAGAAAGGTCCACCGGTGCACCCTTGTCTATTATTCGGGGTCTCATATTTCTTACTTGAATGCTTCTCAAATCAGACTACATAGAAGGATCCCAAACCTCACAAGCGGTACCTTTTTGGGACGGGTTTTTGTTGGTTGCTATGTGCGCCCTGACCTTTCTGTGCTCGACCTCCTCCACGGCTTCTGTTCGACTAACAGAGACCTTGCGGACTCAACCCCAAACCCGAAAACATCAAGACTTCATAACGTCATGGGCCTCACTTATGCGATGTTATGCGCGAAATCACAGCAGAACTCCCAAACCGTAAGCCCATGTATTACCAACAAGAAGCACCACAAGCCACTATGAGGGAGAACCCAAAATACTATAATCCTTACTACAAAGTCCTCGGACTCCAACAAGCTACCCACAATTTGGGCAAATTCCCATGAATCCTAAACCCTAAACCCCAGGGTGTAGGGTTTAGGGTTTAGGAGGCCCCAAACATTAGTTCGTAGAACCTAAACCCTAAACCCTAAACCTTGGGTAATTGGGCACTGCCCCCCCCTCAGTAACAGTTGGATAATAACTATAATATGGTTATACAGTATAACCATATTATAGTTATTATCCAACTGTTACTGAGGGGGGGCAGTGCCCAATTACCCAAGGTTTAGGGTTTAGGGTTTAGGTTCTACGAACTAATGTTTGGGGCCTCCTAAACCCTAAACCC